ATACATAAAACCATAGAACTCAAAGAGGGTGTACTTTCTTTTTCACACAACTGTATATTAGAGATTGCTATCTTATGGGACCTAGGAAGTGTGTCTTTTCAGTTGTAGCATCTACCTTCTGAACATCATACCACCTGAAAATAGGCTGGCCCCAACCGTGTTGGCTTTTCAGAAAACGATTAAGATCTGGCTATTTTCCCAGGCATGGGGTTGGGAAGTTAGCTGAACCCAGGTAAGCTGGTTGCTGGTTTCCTTGGTTGCTGCAGTATGTTTGTCCTTGTCTTTAGTTTTTATTTTACTAGTGGTATGGTTTTAAATTTTGTTATCTGCCCAGAGTCATGTTTGTGAGGTGGGTAGCTGGTCTGCAAAGATTTCAGTTCCTTTATCTGTGTTCTGGGAGTATCAGACAAACTGTGCTGCTGAGTGGCTGTTTCCCTATGATTGAAGCCCTTGTATTTAAGTCCTGAAGAAAAACCCTGAGAACCTGGGGCCATGCCACCGTCAGCATTTCAGGCACATCCTTGAGCCTGAAGTAGCTGCTGAGGCTAGCAAGGGGAAAGCCAGCAGTAATTGGTGTGGTGCTATCTGTGAGTGGTCTAGGGCAAGAGAGCAGTGTCATAAGTATGGAAGCATGACTTTGCAGGGGCTACCCTATCAGCCCAATCTGCGTACCTGATAGAGGATAGACTGCTCAGTAGAGGAATGAGCTGCTTCACTGCTAAGACTTAGCACAAGCCCCCTGCCCCCCCCCCCCCATCAGTGCTTTAGAAAATGCTGGATGGAATTTATTCCAACACATTCCAAAAGTTTAACTGGTAAGCACAAAGAATTTCTTGTCTAGGCTGCAGCTATAGTAATTGTGCACCTCATTCCATTCTTTTTTTTTTAAAATAAGTTTATTAGAATTATAGATGAAAAGAATGAAAGCCAATACAGGCTACAAAGTACAAACAGAAAAATACAAAGAAAGGAAAAAAGTGTGGAAGGAAAAAAAAAAGAGAAAAGAAAAAGAAAAAATAGAAAAAAGAAAGAAGCAACTTCTCCCTTCATCCCAGCAAGTAAAAACAATCATACTATCTGTAAATACAACATGATCTCACTTCACCCCATATCTCATCTATTGAATTAAAAAAAAAAATCCAAATGTTTCATCAGTTGTTCTTCATCAGCAAAAGTCCAGTAAGGGCAACCAGATGTAACTGTTTTTCTCCTTTAGCCCTGGTTGAATAAACCAACCTTATATTCCTTCCCTGAGTTTTTAAAAATATCTTCTAACCCCTTCAAAAAGAGTCCCAGAGCTCGTTTTTTGTTCATCAGTGTTTCAAGCCAAAAATCTTTAAGAACTTTAGCAAAATTCTTTTGTATATCCAATTTGTCCTTTTGTTTGTCGTTTCTAACAAAGTCCTTCAAAACCCTGACAGAACTCTTTTGTATATTTGGTAGAAAGAAGATATCCAAGTCCATTGTTTGGTTCAGTATTTGTATATCTCCGTTTAGGAGTGAATCATCCATTGGTTCCATTTGTGTGCCTGTATCTTTCTCCATATCTTTCTCATTGCTTGGTACGTTTAAGTTCCCCTTCACAAACATCCACGGCAACTTGCCCCTGTTCTATACATTCATGACACGTTCTGTCATTTTCGTCAAGTTTATCACTTCTGTCAAAAAACTCAGCAGACAGATATCCCCAAATTTGTATTAAAGATTTCTGCTCCATTTTCTTTATCCTCTAGCTCCCTCTAGTGTCCATCCTTCAAGGTCCCCTTATCATAAAGAAACTCAGAGCACCATTTTCCCAAGATAAAGTTTCTTCTAATTAAATTAAAACTCTTTGTGGGCATTTAAAATTATAATTCCAGGTCCATCTGAGCCCTCAACCTGTTATTAAACTTTCTAAAGTCCATATTCTGAGCACCTTTTTGCTGTTTAATCCAGGAAGTAATCTTTTTCAAAAGCTTTTAAAAATCACATTTCAAAGTTACTTCAATATTTGAGATGGATAGTAATATCACATTTCTTTACGTTTGAATTAGAAGGGGGTTATTCCTAGGTGAGTTTAACCTGATGATAAGCCCAATTGAAACTCATGACTTAAAGTGGACCTGTTGCAGTTCTCTGAGGACCACTTTCCTATGTGGCAAGTGTCTTGGCATGTGTTTATGCGTGTTTCAGGTGTGTCTTTGAGCTGTGATAAAATAGCTGATAATCACACCTCTTTGACACCCTGATTAGAACACTCTATTTACCTGTGTAAGGTTTTGGACCCCATGACATTTGTTTGATTGCTGTGTGAACCCTGGAGCTAAAAAAAAAAATGTCCCCCACCCTGGTCCATTTGGTCCATCCAAACGTATCTGTTACAGTTGTGCATCTTTGTTACAACTAGCTGAATTGGCAATATCTTTTGTGGTTTAATCAAGACATGTGTAAAATTTATTAGGATATGTTATAGGCCCAAGGGGGAGTTTGGAAATTCCATCAAGGGCTTCTTGCTTTGGTACATACTTCTCCATTTTGATAACTGTGCACTTATTCTGGACAGTTTATCTTGCCTAGATTTATTGTGACTTGGTTTTCCTAATCTGCTTAGTTTCCACAGATTTCTCTGCTCTTCTCTGCTCTTCCCTTTATATTTCAAATTTGTCACTGTCCATCTTACTGCAGAGCGACTGGGTGGTTTACAATAAAAGAATAAATATTAATTAAAATATAATAAATTGTAATTAAAAACACATTACAAAAGGTCCCTATCTGAATAATAAATAGCATCCAAGAAGCTGATGTTAACTAAGAGTAGACTCATGGAGCATCTTCAAGACTTCTGTATGCACAATTTTGGAAAACCCAGACACTACCAACAATACAAGAATGGTTGTTAAAACTGATGGAAATGGCAGAAAATGATAAACTGACTTGCTTATTAAAAGAAAATTCAAATAACTATTACCTTAAAGAATGGAAACCATTGATGGACTATTTGTAAAATGCAGGTGGGGCGAAGCTTATATAGGGATTTGAAGATGAGATTATAAATGTAATGGGATATATTTTGACAAAGAATTATTCCTACTTAATGCATTAAAAACTAGCACTATTAAAAGAAAATTCAAATAACTATTACCTTAAAGAATGGAAACCATTGATGGACTATTTGTAAAATGCAGGTGGGGCGAAGCTTATATAGGGATTTGAAGATG